AGCATTCAGTTATCAAATATATAGATCATGTCAGTATCTCTACTCACATCAATCTATTATACTAACTTGATATTCTCATGAACAATCAATCTCTCAATCCAATCATTAATCATAAATCAATAAATAGGTGATCAATCTATTTATGCATTAAGTTACAAGATAACACATAGGGATTGGGAAGAAGCTTTTCATAAATTGAATAAAGAAATCATAAAGTATCCCTTAGGGTTTTATCAAAGATCCCAATAGAATAATTTAGTTACACATCCTAAAAAACATTGCAAGAGTGAAATCTAAAGGAAATATGAAACAATTAAGAATAACTGATTAGAAGAAGTTCTTTATGTTTGCAGTCATCTTCTCTTTTCTCCTCCTTCAGTTTCTTTTTCTTTTTGGGCTCCTATCCTTTTTATAGCGTTCAAGACCTAATTTTTTAATTTGGCACATCCCACGGCCGTGTCGAATTGACATACGGCCGTGTCTTCCTCAAAATTACGTCAATTTCTAATTTTTAAACACGACACGGTCGTGTCTCTTTCACCGAGCAAAATAGAAATGTTGCTTTCTTAACACATGGTCGTGTGTTAACTAAGTATAGGGCATATGACCGTGTCTTCTAGGAACATGGTTATGTCTCACTCTGCTTCAGAAACAGAAACGTTGGCTCTGTAACATATAGTCATGTGTTATGGCCATGTCTTCCACATCTTCATGTTTCGACCCTTTTTCGCCCAAATCTTGTTCCAATCCACTTTAATTTGCTTACAAGTCCCAAAAGCATTCCTGAAAAGTGCCAAAGACATTCCAACAGCATATGTGACAAAAACTAATCAAAATCAACTCAAATAAAATAAAAATATATATATAATTCAATTATATTAGTCGTCTGCTTCTCATCTACCCTAAGCAGGATATAACTAAACCAAATGTCATCATGGCAAATTCATAGTGCCATAAAATTTATCATTCTAGTAAGTGCCTCGTTCCACCAAGTGGAACAACTCCCCAATTGATAGTATATTTACTCCAGGGTAGTCACACCCTCCAAGGAAACTAGGGAACTGGATTTAGGCATTGTGTTGGTTAATATTTTTAGATTCTTAATTTCTTTCTTGGTTTATTATTTAATTATTCTAAACTAGGCCTAATTTATTTTTCTATTTTTTCTTTATTTTCCATTTTTCTTCTTGAATGAGACACTCAATTTTCCCTTAAATTATTTATCTATAATTGTCTGTTTTAATATTTAATTTCAATCACTAAATTTTTCATTATTTTAATTCTTCAATTTCCTTTTTTAATTATTCTTCTTATTTTTTCCCTTAAATTTTTCATTTAATTATTTAATTACCAAAATACCCATTTTACCAATGAACAGGGTATTTTCCCCCGAGGCCTGCCCCCGCACCCTGGGAGGCCCACTCATGCATAGACTCCTCGGTGTATGCACGTTTTTCAGGCCTGCATGGCACACGACTTATTGCACACAACACCATTCCCACAGGGCATGTGCTGAGGTGCTGAGGTGCCTAAACGTGTGTCCCTGCGTACAAAACACGCGCCACGCATGACACACATAATGCCTACCACTAGGCTCTCTCAGCACAATAGGGTGCCTAACAGAGCCCCTCTCTTGTGTGCCGCGTGTCATGGGACTTGTGTTGACACTTTTGAGTGCCTGGATAGTATCTCGCATACACCCCTCGCGCACCAGTTTAGCCAGTACTTTGGTGCCTAGGCATAACAGCTGGAGGCATTCAACCTTCAGTGATGTTTCTTCCATTTTTTTTATTTAAACGTTCGTAACCATTTAAATTTTATTTTAAAACATCTATTACCCTCTATAAACATCAAACATTCATAAACATCAAGAAAAACGTCGATTAATTCATAGAAAAATGCATGAACACATGCACACCATTACTTTCATTAAATCATTGACCTCTTTGTGTTTTCTTTCAAATTTTACCATTTAAATGCATTTATAAGTCTCATTACTTGTGTTAATTAAATTTTCATCTATCTTACCTCACTGATGCACGAAGAATCAAGGTAAACACACGAGGAAATTGTCTCCAAAATAGGAAACGCTAATTGCAACTTTCCTGGCAATAATTACATAGTCAGAAGTAGTTTTGGAAAGAATCTACAGTTTCTGGAGTAATTCCACCGGAGGGATCCATTTCCTAATATTCTTGACAAATAAACTAACTAATCCACAAGTTAAAATTGAAAGAAAAATGAAAACAAGAGCTAGAATCGAAGGAGAACAGAAGGTTACCTATACAGATCCTCTATTTAGGTGCAGCAGAGAAGAGCTTAAGGTTTGAAGCTTGGTGTGGTGATTTATGTGCTTAAAACTATTTAAGGACGATTGTAAGACATCAAGGAAAGAAAGAACCACACAAGAAAAAAAGGAACGAACTCACCTTAACTGGGAAGAAGTGAATTCCTATTCTGCAATGCACACCCCTCACTAGGCTCTATTTTCTAGTTCCTAAACTCTCTCACTTCTGTTTGATTCCTAACACTCTCTATTTCTCTTGTGTTTAGCTCTCAAATTTAGTTTTTTTTGTCTCTGGATAAATGAAGAAGACGAAGACCAGAAGTGAAGCCTTTTAAACAGGGTTTTCCCTTCTATTTTAGCCCTTGGATCGCAAATATGTGATCTAAGCCGTCGGAGCAAGATGTCTGCTCCAGTTGGCTTGGGTAGGATGCCTATTCCATCCCTTGCCTAGATTCCACTTTCAGGGGAGCTTTGAGTGGTGTCACGTCACAACCCAAGTTGAATTACGCTAGATGTGCTGCGGGTGGTGTGTTCGCGAGTTGGCGTGCAATACCTGTGTGCCTCGCGAGTACCAGTATTTTTACCTGTGAGTTTGGGGAAAACTTCCCCCTCTCTCACGGCTAAAAGAATGTGGGGAAAAATCTTGCAGGTTAAGGGTGTGTTTCTTTCTTCCCATGGCCAATGTAACAAGAATGCAAGTTGTCCATGGGCTGAGGAATTTCTTAAATCTAGTGGGCATAAGTATTTCATGTGTAAATTTAAAATGCAATTTTAATTCTATTTCAAATAAATAAATTTGCTAAAATAAAGTAAAACCATGCATGAATAAAATACCTCCATTTTTTATTAATAAAGAGTTGATTACCAATCCAATTATTATAAAGTACCAACCTATTGGAGGGAGAGAATATGAGGGCAATCATCCGCACTGAGAGGTTACATGCATGTGCACGTAGTAGCGAGGCCACACGCGCGTATGCAAACGTGGTTAGAGATTCACCTACGCTCGTAAGAGGGAGATTTTCCCCACGGGAATAAAGAATTTCACTCCTGCAAGGACTCCCGTGAGTTGGACCCTGAATTTGCAATAACTTTGGCCCAAAAAAATTTTCTCAACCAACCCAACATAGAAAAAAAAACTTAAGACAAATTAAGAAAGAGAGTTTGAAGCCCACATGACAATTCGCAGGCTTGAGGATACTAGTGGCCTTAAAAGAAGAGTTAATTTGGCCCAAAAAGAGGTAAGGTTTGGTCCATGCACTTAACATCAAAGCACCTCGGCATGCTTTTCACAATGTTGTATGTGTGAATCCCAAGATTCACATGCTTGGCCGAGAAATAGGAGAAGGTGAGAGTCCTTCTTGTGAGGGAGATTATAACACCCCGCACCTTTTGTACTTAAACGTGGTATTAAACTCTATTATTTTGAATCTCATGCCCATTTAAATTCTATCAGCATTTGCTTTAAAGTTATTTTTATTTTTATTTTTATTAATATAATTTAAATCATTCCTAAATTAATTTAAGTTGTTTTAAAAATATTTTCAAAAAATAGGAAACGAAAAAGAGGAAAGAAAAATAAAAAAAGGGGAAAAATCCCTGGGAATCTACGGGAAAATACTCGCGGCACTGTGCGTGGTCGCATCACACAGTCCGCATGTTAGCCCACGGTACTGTGCCCACACTGTGCACGCAATACGCGCGACATGGCCTATCTGTACGCTAAGCGCACACAAGCCATGCGTGTTGCCAATTGCATGGACATGCCTCCTGCTACACATACACATTCTCCTGTATACAAACATGATCGCATGTCCCATCTGCGGACTTGTCACATCCGCGGGCATGCTACCCCATGTTGCGATAGCTTTGGCCCCTCAACCACCCACCATGTGTCTTTTCAGATAGCCGCCATATGGCACACATCCAAGACCCTTCCCTTGGCTATTTAAAAAGTCTTTTTCCCTCATTGTTTCCATCATCTTTCATTCTTCCATTTTAGAAATTTTAGAGAGAGAAAGAGGGAAGTCTAGAGAGAGAAATAAAGCAAGGAGTAGGAATTTTCAAAGACCACTAAAAGGCTTTTCTCTCCCTTCCAAAAGATAAATCAAACTATGGTTATGGTAAGAGATTCTTTTGTATTTTCTCTTATATTTCTAAGTGAGATTTTTTAGAAAAGATAAATTGAAATGTTGAATGCTTTTTATGCATGGATCTTTATGGTAATTAATTATTGTTTATTTGGATATGAAATATGAAATATGAAATGTTGAGCATGATGCATGAAAAACACGCTGATTGAAAATGCATGCGGGTTGGCCCTTTGCCTAATCACTTGCTATTGGCGAAGAGGGTTAGTCTAGTAGGCCTTCGCTCAAGAGGATGACCCGCAGGTCAAGTTTGGGTGAAAATGGACCTTGGATTGGATATGTATTTAGATCCCCACCGGGGCCAAAACATATGACTATTATGAATAAATATTGAAGATAAAAGAGAAAAGAATGAAAATTCATTTAACTGTCATCTTTGAGGGATTTTTGTCTCTCCCTGCTCTGAATATGAAATGTTGGTGAATCACTGCTTGTGAGTTATTAGCATTCTCTCTGATGAGAGTAGATACGTGATATGATATGTAGGGTCACATTGGTGATATACAGTCATGGTCATAGATTATACCCAATATGGATATGAAATTGACCCAATATGTATATAGAACTGACCCTATATGGGAATGAAACTGATCGGTCATTCACAGTGGTAGCTGGGGATCTCCTCTGCCTTCAGTAGATATATGTTGTAATGGCTTTATGTGGAAGTGGGTAAAAAACTTTTAAAAACACAAAACATGACTTAGATAGTTGTTGTTAATTTATGGTGATTTTGTATGATGGTTCTTCTAATTTATCCTGATCTTATTGTGTCCTAAGTTAATTCAACTAGCTTCTATTGTAATGCTTGTTTATGATTGACTCTACACTTTTTTTTCCTTATCAAGTATTTGAATAGAGCTCGTCATGTGGAGACTTCTGAGGTAAGTTACTTAATTGAGAAATGACATCATCTTTATAACATTTAGTTACGTAGTTTAAATAATATTTTCCATATTGAGTTTATGGAACACACCCCTTTTAGATAATGGAAGTGATGATTTGCTTGCTGAGTTGTCCCTTGAAGCTTGTTTGGATCCCTTCTTGGACCATTTAGATGATTATGAGTGCTTTATTTTATCCGCACTCTGATGACACTTATTTATGATTATTTAAATGACTCTTACTTTTGTATATTTATCTTTTGGTGGCTAACCTTTGTCCTTAAGTATAAAATGAATCTTTAAATTTGTTGTAAGGGAATTCTATTTTTCGCTGCATATATATTTTATTATTTACACTAGTATCTATTTCTGTTATCAGACTACTTTTTACCCCATCGAGTTTCTGGATGTTACAATTGGTATCAAAGCATGATTTGCAGAAAAAAATCCTTATACTGAGGCCTATAATTCTAGTCATCAAGCTTATTGTCTCCCTTTTATTGGATCAATGACTCGATGGAGACCATCCGTATAATGCCCTAAGGCCTAAGATGCTTCGACCAGAGCTAAGTTCATATAATTATTTCGAGCCATCCAAGTTCTAACCGGTGCTGTACGTCATAACCGAGAGTAGCCACCCCCTACCAATGATTTTCTCTATGTAGACAGAACTATTTTTCAAAATATTTCTGAGTTTAGGAAACAAAACCCTCCTTCCTTTAATAGTGGATCTGATCCCTTGCTCACAAAAGCTTGGATTACGCAAACAGAAAAGATTTTTTCTGTGTTTGGACCTGACTTAGGAGCAGAAGTTCTCTTTAACCACTTTTATATCTATTGGTGAAGTCAAGCATTGGTGGCAGCTTAAGAAAGATGTCTTACCCACCTTTATCACCTAAGATATCTTCATGGATGCTTTTCTTGAGAACTTCTTTTCAGTTTATGTTCAGGAGAAAAAAATGAAGAATTTCAGGACCTGCATCAAGAAAATATGACAGTTAACTAGTATGCCACTAAGTTTGTTTAGTTGTGCCATTTTGCCCCTATGATGATTGCTATTAAAAGCCAAAAGACTCGAAAATTTTTGAAGGGTCTTAGAGCGAATATCTTTGACCGCATTGCCTTGCTGAAGCCAACACCTATGCCCAAGTTCTTGAGCACGCCCAGTTGGCGAAAGGACTCATTTCGACCCAACATCAGCATATCACTCACATCTGTGCTCAACAACAGCATAAGAGGAAGATAACTAACCATGGCACAAACCATGTCAATAAGAAACCCTGTGTAGTACCTAATACTACTTTTTCCCCACCTCCTGTAAAACCCTTTCAGCTTGTCTAACCTTATCGATGTTGTTTGAACAACTCCTGCTACAAGTGTGGGAGCACACAACACTTTGTGAGGGATTGCCCTAGAAGCCCCGAGACATTGTGGAGCCCATTGCACAAGGAAGAGTCTTCCATCTCGATGAGCCTAGTGCTATTACTATATCGGCCATCATTTAAGGTGCACTTTTTATTTATGATTCTATTGTTCGTGCCTTGATAAATACTGGTGCTACTCATTTTTATATCACATAGATTTGTAAGGAACTTAGGAATGAAACCACAACATTAAGGACAAGTTTTAGGAATGGATTGGTTAGAAAACTATCGAACTATCATTGATTGTGATGATAAAATTGTAACCCTATGTTCACCTAAAAGAAAACAATCTTAAGACGCATATGAAAATTTTTGTTTTGAATAAATATTTCTTTGAATATATTTATAAAGATCTCACATAAAATATAATTGTATAAAAAGAGACTATTTCAAAAACTATTACTTGTCTTTTTCTTACTTATGTGATGCATAGGCGAATAGATCCTAAGGCATCAGTTCAGACAATCCCGGTTGTTTGTGACTTCCTAAATATTTTTTTTCTAGTAGAGCTATTAGGTTTACCTCCCCTAAGAGAAACCGAATTCTCCATCAACTTAGTTCATGGAGCATGTCAAAACCCATTTAATGAATGGGCCGAGCTGAGCTCTTGGATGTCATATTGTAGCGTTGAGAGTGAAAAAGTTTATCAGACCAAGTCACTCTTCTTGGAGTGTTCCAGTACTATTTATGAAGAAAAAGGATGGGACCCTCAGACTTTGTGTTGATTATCGGGAACAAAATCATGTTACAATCAAGAGTAAATACCCTCTATAACATTCCAAATACTTAATGGGTGGAAGGGAGCCAACTACTTGAGTAGTTATG